TACTTGTTTCCCATCATCAAACCTAAATTTGTCTTTTTTGTGATTTCTACCTATTGTTCCCAGCTCTTTCTTATAGGGCCAAACAGAACAAGTCTAATCTTTCTTCCACATGACTATTCTTCAAATACTTGAACCCAACTAGCATGTACTCTTTGAAGCTTTTCTTCTCCAGGCTAAACATCCCCAATTCTTGCAACCAATCATCCTTGGAAAATGACTCAAGACCTTTCACCATCTTGTTTGAACTCTTCTGGACATTCTCCAGTTTATCAAGGTCCTTCTGATAATAATTCCCCTAGAACTGAACACAACAGAAACAGATGCAAAAGTGAAGAAGTCTCTCCCATGGGGAGCTTACAATCTACCAGAATACAGTAACTTCACAGATAAGTAAATACAATACAAGAAACATACAAAATAAATAATGTAAAGTGGTTGGGGCAAAACAAATGCAAAGTGGTTAGGGGCATTAGCAACTTAGGGAGGCAGAGAAGGGCTCCTGAAGATGATGGCACTTGAGTTGGGCCTTGAAGGAAGATAAGAGCTTCAAGAGGTACGGGTGAGGAAGGAGAGCATTCTAGACTTGGCAGACAGCCCAAGCAAAGATGGAATATCATTTGTGAAGAACAGAAAGAAGGCCAATTTGGCCAGAATTTAGAGTGTGCAAAGGGAAATAGCATGTAATCAGTCTAGAAACATAGACTAGAGCCAAATTATGAAGGACTTTAAAAGCTAAATACAGAAGTTTATATTTGATTCTCTAGGCAATGAGGCATCTCTGTAGCTTCTTGAACGGAAGACTGAGATCATCAGATATTTGCCTTAGGAAAGTCAATTGAGCAGCTGGCAAGAAATGAGAAGACTATTTCAGTGGTCTAGGCAAGAAGTGAAGAGGGCCTGGTCTAGGGATGGTGCTGGCATAAGTACAGAAAAGGGGGAAGGATTTGAGAGATTTTGATGGAGTTGAGAGAACTTAGCAACTGATTGGCTATTGGTGATAAGTAAGAGAGTGAAGAATCCAGGAAGATGGCTAGGTTGTAAAACTGGGTGACTATAATGCCCTCAAAAGAAATAGAAGGGTTAGGAGGACTGGTGGATTTAAGAGGTGAGTTCTTTTTTGGATACATTGAATTTGAGATGTATATTGGAGTTCCATTTGGAGCTGTCTAACAGTGTGAGATGTGGGATTGGAGCTCAGGAGAGAGATGAGGACTGGACTTGAGAATCTTCAACATAAAGATGATAAGTGAATCAACGGGAGAGGATAAGATCACCAAGAAAGAGTGTAGAGAAAGAAGAGGAGAGGACCCAAGATGGAGTCCATTGGTCTACACCTATGCCAGGGAGAGAATCAGTTATGCTTCAGACCAAGATGGCTACCTGAACAATAGCAAATGTTTGTTAACTGAGACTGCCTTCCTCCCTTGTACTTACTCCGGAAAAATCTTCAAGTTCATAGGATACCTGATATAAAAGAAAAAAACAAACTGGAAAACAAGTCAAGAAAAGATAATTTGGGAATTACTAGATTCCTTGAAAACTGTGATTTAAAAAAAAACTGGAAATTATATTTCTTTTTTTTATTTAGAATTTTTTTAGTTAAGCATTTACTTTTTTTTCTCCCTCCCAATTTCCCCCTTATAATAAATATGTACAATTAAGACAGACAAATTCTCACATTGGCTAATTCTGCATCTTGATTGGCTAATTCTATATCTTGAGTCCAGTGCACCATATCTTAAGAAATTGTAAATGAAAGCTACCTAGATTTATTAGAACCAGAGAGGAAAGTAAAGATGAAAGAATCCACAAACCTTGTCCTAAAATAAACCTCAAAAGGAAAAGTCCCAGGAATGTCATAGCCAAAATCCAGAACTCTCATATAAAAGAAAAAAAAAAGACTTCGAGCATCCAGAAAGAAGCAGCTCAAGCATTAAGGAACTATAGTTAGGAACATACAAGACTTGGAAATTTCTATTTTAAAAAAGAAGAGATCTGGGAATATAGTATTCAAAAGGGAAAAAGATAGGCTTGCACCAAGAATAACCTACCCTGCAAAGCTGAGTATAAATCTATAGGGGGGAAATGGATCTTAAAATAGAAGAGAAGACTTTGAAAAGCATTCCTGATGAAAAGACAGGGCTGAGTAAGAATTTTGAAATGCAAACACAAGATTCGAGAGAAATCTAGAAAAGTAAATTCATTTGAGCAGTTGGAAGGAGGTATGTAGTGGCGCAGTGCTAGCGTTCTAATACAGAGGGAAGTAGCAAGTGTTCCCTAACCACCTTAGTATCTTCAAAGGGTATTGAGTGAGTTAACTAACAAAAACAGAGGACCTAGGGGGTGGACTGGTTCTGTTCTCAGGGTTTAAGAGGGAAAAGAAAAGAAAGAATAAAAAAACACACAAGTATAGAAAGGAGAAAGACAGAGAATTTGTCATTCCTCATAATTGGGGCGTAGAGAAGAGCATACATCAAAGTCAACAGAAAAATAAGTGGAGACTGGGAAGGAGAGTGGGAAGAGTGAGTTAAGAGGAAAGCTAATAACAGAGAGGGAATAACCACCAGCAAAGTGAATTGGGGAATTAAAATGGAAAAAGCAAAGAACTAGAATATAAGGGGATGTCTGTCAATTGGGGAGTGGCTGAATAAATTGCAACACATGAATATAATGGGATATTACTGTAAGAAGTTATGAAAGGGATGATTCCAGAAAATCCTGTGTAGTATCAATTAAGGTAGAGTGAAGTGGGTAAAATCAGGAGAATAATTCACACGATGACAACTCTATAAAGAAAACAAATTTCAAAGATTTAAGAACTGTGATCAATACAAAGACCAACCATGTCTCCAAAGGACCTGTGATCAAGTGGGTTACCTATTCTTGACAGACAGATGACAAACACAAAGTACAGAAAGAGGCGTACATTTTTGGACATGACCATGGTGTGAATTCATTTTGCTTGACTATGTTTATTTGTTACAAGAGGGTTTATTTGTTTGTTTTTTAGAGGGTTAGCCAAAAAGCAGGTCACTAAAACATTTTTAAAATGCACAGGATGGAAACAGAAGGAAGCACATAAGTAGTGCATAGAATTCCTTGGAAACTTTCTCTTTAGAGCAAGTGATATAAAATGAAGATTCGTTTCATATAGAAACTGTGTGCATGGAACTATTCTGGTTTTTAATGTTTAGGTTCAGAAAAATAATTAAAATAATTATTTTTAAGAGAAGTTATGTAAGGAAGAGAACAACAACAAAGTAGGGTCATGAAAACCCACCAAAGAGAGACTGTCCAGAAGACAGGAGTGTGTAACCATGATAAATACTATAGGGAGGTCAAAAAGGATGAGAATAAAGAAAAAAAGACCACTAGATTCAGCAGTAGATTATTTGAACTCATGAAGATGAGCCTTCCTGATTCCAAGCCCAGTACCCTATCCACTGCACATCTCACTGCCCTGAGAAACATCACTCCAAGCCGCTGTTGTTCCTTGCTGTCTTCTGCCAGTCTTTAGCTGTAACATAGCCTTTTTTGTTCAGCAATAGCCCCATCACTGAAAAACCTCATGCTATTTTTATTTCTTTTTGATAACTCTAAAGCAACTAGCCTTTAGGGATTTAAAATCTGAATTTTAAACTGCTTTTCTTGGGCTACCTTGTTGGGGTTTAGGAGAAAATGGCTGAAATTCAGTTTTGTATCAGTTGAAACTAGTAGAACTTGGAGTGAAAAAAATCCTTTCAATTTTTTTCAACTCTCATGATGTAGTTGTGGTCTATGGGCTGGATCACAGGGCTGGATGAAAAAGAGAGACAAAGGTTGGTGACCATCATGCTATTCCTCCCCTCTGGATACAGAATTAGAGAACCTGAATTTGAATCCTGGTTCAACTTCCTGCTATTTGTGTGACTTCCTGGGGCCTCCATTTCTTTACCTCTAGATGAAGTGATTAGACGAGATTATATAGATTTATAAAGTCCATCCCAGCTCCAGAATTCTGATCTTATGAATCAGTGTACTCCCTGCATCAGGATCATAGGATTTAGAGCTAGAAAGAATCTTAGATATCACCTCCCACTCTAACTGCCTCATTTTATAAGATAAAGAACTTCCCATGTTCATTTGCCCATTCAAATCACCTCATTTTCCTTGGGTCCCTTTTAGTCTTCTATGATACTTTACATATTTGTGTGATCAAAGTTATTTACCTTTTTGGGAAAAAAAAGCTTCAATGTAAAGAATATAAAAAATAAAATTAATATTGTATAATTGCAATGACTAAGTTTGTCCCTAAAATTGAAATAAGAAAATGTCTCCTTTCCCCCACTTAACTAGAGAAGTTGGGGACTGTGGATGAGGAACTTTGCATGTACTGACAGATTCAATAGCTATATTGCTTAATTTTGTTGAACTTTCTTTTTTTTCTTTTCTTTTTCATTTTTTGTTACGTGGAGTAAGTCCCTGGTTTGGAGTAGGATTGGAAGGATATATTTGGAAATGAAGGTGATGTAAAAACAAAAGCCATCAATAAAGTTTAAAAAATAATGTTTATCTCAAATAGATCGATTTTTTAAAATCACTTGGGGCAATTATTTTCCACTGAGAATTCTCCTTTTGGGGATGAGGTTTATATATTCAAATAGCCTATATTCAAATGAATGTGGTACTTACAGCTTTCTCAGTCAGGACTAACCCTAAAAAGGTTCCGGATGTTTGATGGTACCGGGCTGCACTTGTATGGATGTGGGAAAAACAAGGTTTTAAAAACCAAACCAATCCACATGGTGTGTTCCTAAGTCTTATAACCTGAGAGTGATAATGTTTTCAAAACACCTGCAAAAACAAAGATGCAAAAGCCACCTCCTTTCCTACTTATTGATTTAATTTGCACATAAATTCTTAGCATACAGGATCTGTTTGACCCATTGAACTTTCTGCCACTCAGTGCTCTAATAATAAGCCACATGTCTCACTCGGGAAACAATTGTAGATAAGCTTAATCGACTTTGCTCCTTCCGTAGAACCAGGGAGGAAGCAGCAAAGTCTCAAACGTTGATAATGTTTCACTAATTCCAAAGTAGACTGCCGGGGGACTGCTGTGTGACGGGTGTCGAAAAAAACAGAAGCATTTTAAAGGTGAGACCCAGGGGAGTAAATTACTTTCAGAAAAATTAGATTAATTGTTTTAAAGTGATACAGACATTAACTTGGTGAAATCTTTTCTCTTTTGGGACACAAATCTTAGCAAAAAAAAATCTTTAAGAACTAAAATGTTTGGTATCAGAAGCAAGCAAGTTCTTTTTTAAAAAAACTTAAAATTCTTTTGGTTTGGATATGCATCTTTCTATTTGCTTCTAGCTTGAAAAATGTTGCTGTATGTGAATAATATAATTCATTTTCCTTTTGTTTTTTTTCCAATAGGCATTATGAAAAGCTCTTACCTCAATGTGATCACTGTAGCGCTCAGTCTTTATTTTACCAGAATAGCAGCAACCACATCGAGAAAACTTGATAGTCGGTCTCACTCTGAATGTCGATGGAATGGGGACCTTTTGATGGATTGTTCTTTTACTGGAAAATCTGATATGCCAATGGCTATACCACAAACAGTGACCACAGTGGATTTAAGTTACAATTCCATTAGAGCTCTCTCAGTGTCTAACACGGAAAAGGAAGATTGGACCATAAAACACCTGAACCTTAGTAACAATAGGATATCTGAGCTAACTTTCAGCTCTTTTATGTGTTTTCCCTCTTTGGAAATGTTAAACCTGAATGACAACGAAATCCACTCCATCTCTTTGGTTCTACAGAGACATAGCAGCTTATTGGGGAAATGCCCAAGCAAGGGTTTCAGAAATGTCTTTACATCTCTCAAAGTTTTGTCAATTCAAAGAAATCATCTTAATGCTACTCCTGGGGGTAAGTGTAAGTATGAAAAATAGAATGCAGTATGCAATAAATGTGTCCACTTGACTTAGGGTGCCTTTGTGTAAATATGGGTCCATACTAGCTTTCAGTTCTACTTGCATAGAATTAGACCTGAAAAGAAAGCAGTCTGCTGTCTTTAGAGCAGGTGTGGTCTTTAAAAGAAGAGTCTTAAATTTAGTATAATTTTAGTGCTATAACTTAAAGGATTTATAGATATTGGTTTTCTTTCCCATGATATAAATTTCATTCTTGATAATGTCAGCTTCTCAAAGTACATTAGGAAGTATATGACTGCTGGATTTTAAATTGCCTTTTATGTGATCATCTGTTAATTACTGAGTATACCAAATTATCCCAGTGACAAAAGGTTCTAAAGAAATGACTAGGTTTGGATCTGAATCATTTGACAGAGAACTGGATTTAACTTCAGTGTTATTACTAAAGAGAGCATTTTCGATTTTCTTATCTTATTAGGGTATATTTATACCACAGCTTGCCCAGTGGTCTGGAGATGAGGATCAAAAATATGATATTTCTGTCTGTTAGTATGTAAGGTACCTTTGCCTGTTGAATTTTCTTCCTCTACTTGCAGAACAAACTTACAGAAATACATTATGCTGTCAAAATGTAACAAAATCACAATCCCATACCCATCTCTAATTCCTAACAAGACTCTAGCCTCCTTCCATAACAAGATTACCCCTTCCAGGGCTCCAATCTGATAGTAAATGTTCTAAGTAATAAATGGTGTTTTTACTGATTCTCTTGGGAGACTATTCAATAATGCAGTGTTTTATTCTAGGAAACATATCTTACTATTCAGTCTAAATTTGCCTTACCTTCTTTTCATTACATTATGTTATTCACTTTACTATACTTTTTTTTGGTGGGGGGTGGTAGGTTTTGAGATATTTACATATTCAGTCAAAATTTATTAAGCATTTATTATGTGTAAGACACTATGCTAAGCATTGAAGGGCATGCAAACAAATATTTATTAGAAGATTACCATCTTTTCTCCATCCCAATTTGTACCCATTAAACTTTTCCATTGAGTTCTTATATTCCATTTTCTGTTTTTTATGTCTTCCCTCCAAACTTGCTTTTAGCATCTTTTGGATAATGGTGGCCTAGAGTTGAAGAGATAATTATTCTGGGGATAATATCAATGGAATTGTGTAGAAAAGAATGGCTTCCTCCTTCCCTGTCCTTTTGGGACATAACTTATTGACCTTTCTCTTTTATATGTCATGGAATGAGGTCAGATGTTTTGTTTTCTTTTCTTTTTAATAAGGTGGTGGGCCCTTTTCCTCCATAGCCTGTGAAGGGTATATTTATTACCCTTTGCTATACTGATAATCTAGAGGTTGTAGTGCTAACATTTGGACATCTCAGACATCAAATACCACTTTGCTCTGCACCAGTCTAGTATATGTAATCAAAGAGCCCTGAATCTGGACTTAGAGGGCCTAAGTTCAAAATCTAACTTATTGTTGTACCTTGAACAAGTTACCGAACTTCTCTAGTCTCAGTATTTTCTGTAGTAATTTGAAGTCAAGACTATGTAGCATCAGCGGCATCCCACCCATTTCCACCCCTCACATGTGCAGCAATTCACAAAGCTGTCCCAAGTTCAAGACACTTAGAACATCCTCATCAACTCGAAACCACAGTTCATGAGCCCTTGTAAATGTAGTTACTTTTGCCAATAAGGCAGAAGACATAAGTAGTTCAAATTGAAAGCATTTAATGAAATAGTACAGAAAGTACAGTAGTAATAGAACCTTTGCCTCCCCCTCCACCCCAATAAAATTAGGTCACACTTTCCTAGATATACACATGCCATCAATGGGATGAAAAGTCCAAACACTTTACACCAGAAATACTAGGAGGAAAATACATGATGAAAGGAAGGAAGGAAGGAGGGAGGGGAGGGAGGGAGGAAGGAAAGGAAGGAAGGAAGGAAAGAAAGAAAGAAAGAAAGAAAGAAAGAAAGAAAGAAAGAAAGAAAGAAAGAAAGAAAGAAAGAAAGAAAGAAAGAAAGAAAGAAAGAAGAAGAAAGAAAGAAAGAAAGAAGAAAGGAAGAAAGGAAGAAAGAAGGAAGGAAGAAAGGAAGAAAGAAAGAAAGAAAGAAAGAAAGAAAGAAAGAAAGAAGAAAAGAAAGAAAGGAAGGAAGGAAGGAAGGAAGGAAGGAAGGAAGGAAGGAAGGAAGGAAGGAAGGAAGGAAGGAAGATAAGGGGATTTTAGGCTTGAGATTCTTTGAAATGAAGTCCAAATAGAAGCCCTGGATTTAGTTTTGTATATACAATCACTGCCATGATTCTGCATATAATTCATTTTCAGGCCTTTTCAATTCCTTGCATTTTTATGGTTTTAATTATTTTTCCCTAATTGTACTATCTGACATTAACCCAGGGTAATTTTGTTGTTTTTTATACATGCCTCTGTGGCCAAATTCCCATTTATGTTTGTGTGGCAAGAACATTTTAGGGAGGCAGGGCTGGTAAGAGAGAGGTGCTTCCTAGAGCCCCTTACTATAGAGCAGGAGATCTTAACTTTTTTCGTCTCATAGACCCCTTTGGCCGTCTGGTGAAGTTTATGGATCGTCTCAGAATAATGTTTTTAAATGCATAAAATAAAATACATAGGATTATAAAGGAAACCATAATTATCAAAACTTTTTTTAAAAAGTTCATTGACTCCAAGTTAAGAATCCCTGCTCTAGAGAATAATTGCATGATCAGAGCCATCTCTGGTTTCTCCCAATGGCCATTTATGCTATTTTTAGTCCCCACCCCACCCCACCCTTAGAATATAGGAGTACTAAATGTTATCACCATAATGACCAGCCACTTCTACCGAGAGAGTTTCAAAGAGGAAGAGGTGGAGTGACTGGATGAGTCAACACTGGAATGATTTGACTGCAGCACTTACGTAGTTCTTTCTGCATGACTGATATTCATAGATATTGAGTGGGAAAGGCCCTTTGACATCATCTAGTCCAACCCCTCATTTTACAGATGAGGTTAAGTGATTTGCCCAAAGTCACCCATCTAGGAATCTGCAGAGCTAAGATATAAACCCTGGTCTTATGAATCTAAATCCAGAATTCTTTTCATGGCACCACAAGCTTAGTCATATATTTGGAATAATTTACAGTTTAATTACAGTGCCTTTGAGTCTAGTTTATTCAGGCCTCCTTTTTTGTCCTTCCATGCATTTTTGTTTACCTTTTTTTCTCCCTCAGATGTGCCTTTAAAAATAATTATCCATTAGGCATCCTTCTATAGGGAGGCTGCCATGTTATAATGGAAATAGGAATACTCCTAGAACGAGAAAAAAAAAGAGTTTGAACGACAACACCGGCACTTTCTAGTTGTGTGACTGTGGGTAAGTCAGTCAGTCAACAATCAGTTATTAAGCAGTTATCATGTGCCAGATCCCGTGCTCAGCACAAGCAGAAAGACATTCCCTGTCTTCAAGGAACTTACATTCTAATGAGGGGAAGATTCACATAAAACCAAACTGAAAGGGGAGAGGGAGAGATGGGAATGAATACCAGGTACCTGAACGGTGCCCTAAATAGAGTAATTCAGAAGCTATGCCTGTAAAGGAACGAAGACATGGCTGGCCTGGGCACCTTCCTTAAAAGAAGGCCCTGGAGGAGCTAGCTAAACCAAGGGAGAAGCCAAGGTAGAGGCTACTTCCAATGTGTGAATTCCAGGGCCAGAGGGATCTTTTAGGAGGAAGAGGTTTCTGGGGTAGGTAGAGAAAGTCTGGGGTATAACCTGGAGAGGAATAAAGACCAACAAGTTAATTAATTTAATTTAATTATTAATACTTTAATTAATATTTAATACCGATAATTTACTTAATTTCTCTCAGCTTTACTTTCCCCACCTGTAAAATGAGAATAAGAATACTTATACTATCTAGCCCATGGGATTGTTCTCAGGAGAGTATTTGACAACCTTTAAAGGATTAAATAAATATGAATTATTAGTTTGCATTACAATAGATCTCCTTGACCTAAGCTTGAAGTTAGCCAAAAGGATTTAGAAGGAAATGGTGAATCTAATTTTTTTCTCCCCTAACTAAAAAATAGCTCAGAAAAAACAAAATAGTTTTGGTAGGAATCACCACTCAATCATTTTTAAACAAATTAAATATGTTGTCACAAAGTTAGAGGGTTGATGTGGAGTAGTGGATAGAGAGTCAGCCAGGAAGTTAGGAAGTTCTGGGTTCAAGTCACTCCCTCATACATATTGACTGTGTAACTCTGGGCAAGCCACTTACCCTCTCGATGTAATCAATCCTCTGAGCTCATAAATTGCAAAGAAGTTGTTGACCTACAAATCCCTATACTAATAAAAACCCTGGGTCCAATCCGTATCCCTATTACAAACTTAACATTGAATACCAAAGCAAGCTTGCTTAGTAACTAGTTAGATTTAAATTAATTCATTTCAGTAATTTGTCCTCTCATATAGTCATATCCACCGTGTCACCTCGCATTAGCTCACAAAAATCTTCCCATATTTCTGTATTTTCCTCCTACTCTTAATCACCCTATAGTATTCTCTCACATGAAGGTACCACGATTTATCTAACTATTTCTCTGTTATACCCAGCTATGTTCATGTTTGAGGACAATTATTTGGGTATGCTCCTGGAAAGGAGCAGGGGGGCAATCTGGGGAGCTTAGAAAACTAAATCAGTTTGATAAGTATAACTCATCTTATAGAGTATATACATGTGAGCATACCTCTCTCCCATAGTGTGTGAGCCTGCCTTTTAGCAACTTAGAGAGAAGACAGAGATTGGTTTTTCAGTGACTTACCCCCAATATTATTGGTGGGCTGGAATTCTAGTCAGGATAACTGGACTATAAAAGAGACATATGGATTGTTTCCTGCCTTTTTTGCCTTTTCATCTTTTTCTTTGCCCCTTTCTTCTGGAGCATTATAAGAGTTTGGGGAAGGAATTTCTCC